ATTAAAATGCAGGCTTCTACCCCTAGAGATTCTGTGTATCAGAACCTGGGCCTGGGAATCTGCATTTTAACAGCCCAGAGGATGCCCCTGCAGGTGGTCCTGAAACCACACTTTGAGACATCCTCGTGCAGAGCGTCCAGGTTCCCGTTCCAACCAGACCCCACAGAGATGGGTCCCCGGGTTGCAGAAGGGCCGAGGCTCCACTGTCCAAGCCTTGTGCAGTGTGGTCACAATCACGGCTGCCATCTCGAGAGCCTGTTCCGTCCTCGCAGGCCCTGTGCGAGGCAACTGTTTAGCTCTCAGAATAGCTCTGCAGGGTGGTTATCACCAGTCCCCTCGTTTTATAGACGAAGAAACTGAGGCTCTGAGAGATTAATTAAGTCACTTGCAGAGCTGAGGCTCGAACCCAAGTCCACACCCTTCCCACCACACCAAGTGAGCCCTGCTCGGTGGAATCCCCACGTCCACGGCCATTGTCACTTGTGGAAGAGTTACAGTTGTTTGTGCAGAAGTGGTATTGAATGGAGGGGCGGGGGTGTCCGGTATCCTCTCCTTGGGGCCGAACCGAGGCCTTTTGTACACCCTGACGTTGGGCCTAACGCTCAGGGCGGTTTGCCATGAAAAATTACCTTCTATTCCTGTTTCTTTTGTCTGGTGACCTGACCCAACAAATCGCCTTCTGTTCCCTGAGCGAAGGGGGAAGACACAAGGGCTAAACATAGCCTCGATTGTTTTTACTTTTCTTATATTGTACTTCTTGAAGCGATAAAGATAGAAACAATTAAAATATTATCTGCTCCGCAGACAGAGCAAGTGGCCACCTGGCTGGTGTTGACACACAGTAGCAGTGCTCAGTATCGGGCAGTGCTTTGTGTTTTCAAAGTATCTTAGCTGTTGCGGTGCCAGCCAGTGTCCTGGCTAGTTCATACACAACCATCCCCGGCCGTGGTGGGGTGGGGAGTTCAAGGCACAGCCCAGGTTGGACCTGCCTGGCCAAGGGTTACCTGTGCCAGGGACAGAGGATAAGCGAGACCAAGTGAACACCATGGTCTGCTCTGTAGCTTTTATCTGCACTTCGTCATACCCTCCTTCTTCCACCCACCACCAGCTGAGGTCTGCTGTGTGCCAAGCTGTGTGCTGGGCACGGGAGAGTCATGCTGGGACTGTGCTCCAGAACTTCTAGCTCAGTAGATGACGTAGACATGTAAACAGATCATTAAAGTTCAGTTAACATGAGCCACGTGATTGAAAGTCTAGGCAAAGAGCTGCAGGCGCCCGAGGGCTTGTATGGGAGGGCGTGTCTGCAGAGGAGGTGACGTTTGAGTTGGCTCTGCAATGGGAAGTAAGCGACTGGTGCGGGTCTCTGCAAAGGTGTGAAGGCGTGGAAGAGGGGAAGCTGCAGGTCCACGTACCTGCATTTAACCGGTGGATTGAGTTGAGAACTGACTCTTTTACTCCTCCCTACAACAAAGACATCTATGTATTAAGATCAATAGAGGCTTACTCTTCAAAACAGAGGCAGGTAGTTCCTGTAGGCAGGTAGGAGCACGCGAGAGTTAGCCGTCCAACCCCAGTTCCCACTGGGGGTTTGATAGTTAAACGGCAAAACAAGTCGAATGCACACCCCTCTGCACAGAGATGTCACCTGTGCCCATTCCTGCAATCGATTGATTAAACTTTAGTTTTATGTACTCTTCAGGGCTTTGTACACAAAACCAGGAGGAGTGGGCTTTATGGGCTGTTTCAGGGGTTTTCAAGGATGATCTTGGTTCTCCCTGACTCTTGTCTGACTTCTGCTGTCACAGGAAGTCCGGCGTGCCTGGAAGCACAGGGCCTACTGGGGAGACCACGAGTAGACGGGGCCCACGACGTGTGTGGGCCTCAGAAAGCTCTCTGGAGGCAGAAAGGAAATGGGACTGGAGTAGGGAGGCCCGAGTCAGGAAGCACCAAGATCACAAGGTAGCCACTGGAGAGACAGGATGTTCATGCTTAACTGGCTCCCACTTGCCCTTTGTCTCACGATCTCCCTAGAGATGGGGAAAATTCCAGGGCAGTGAAAGAAAAATGGAACAGAAAGTGGTATCTTCTGAGGATAGGACCAATCTCTTTTAAATTTCCCAGGTTTCCCAAGGCCTGGGACAGAGACCGTCTCCAGTGGGCTCTTAAGTTGGGGCCACCATGGCGCCATCTTGGGGCCCTCACTGCCCTCGGTTGGGTCCTTGGTTCCTTCCTCATCGACCACATTTGTGGCCCACGTGGCACCTCAATGCCTTGTCCCAAAAGGGGAGTTGGTGGCGAGCGTTGTTTGATGGGAACTTCCTAAAAGACCAAAGGAGCAAACCCAGAGGAGGGTGGGGTCATAGGCCCTGGTCCTCCACGTATTTGTCCTTATAGAAAACGTAGAAGCTCCAGGGAAACAAATGAGAAAAATCAACTAGCTCTCTGCCAATCAACCGTGAGCATTTTCGTTTATTTCCTTTTTATCTTCCCATATAACACATGTACTTTACTAAATAGGAATCACGCTGTCTCTACAGTTTTGTATCCTGTTTCTTTATGCTTAGTGTTGCATCATTAATCATCATTTCTCCACATCATTAATATTCTTTGAAACTGCTTTTTTCATGCTCCATGGTATTCCTCGGTACTTTATTTAACCAGCCCCCTGCTGTAGGACGTTTTAGGTGTGTTTACCATTTTGCCATCACTCATATCATTTTGAAGAACATCGTCATACATAAATCTTCACTTGTTTCTGAGGATAACTTTTCTTCTTCTTAACCAGGGATGGTCGTGACTCAGTCAAGGTTAGTTTGTATTTTTTTAAATTTGACTCTAGTATTAGTTTCCTGAACTTTCAACTGCTGACAAATGTCAAATTGAAACTCTTTTAAAAGAATGGTGAGGGACTTCCCTGGCGGTCCAGTGCGTAAGATTCTGTGCTTCCGCTGCAGGGGGCGCGGGTTCGATCCCTGGTTGGGGAACTAAGATTCCACGTACTGCACGGTGTGGCCAAAAAAAAAAAAAGAATGGTGAATATTTGAGGAGTGGTAGGTAGTGAGGACCTATTTTGAACAACATAAATGCTATTTGCAAAAAGATAATTTTTGGTAATGATTTGTCAGTTTTTAGTAATGATTAAGTTACAGGAACACTTATCGAGACTTGCCGCGTTATCAGGGCCCGGGCAGATTTCAGGGATGAGATGAAGTGGGCGTTTAACGTCAGTCCTGCTTTGTTCCCAGCTGGCCTAACTTGGCAGATCTCTCTCCTGTCTCTCCAGCTTCTAAGGCCCTCCTGTGGGAACAGCCTCTGGACGATTCCTGCCATGTCCCCTGTCCAGGGTCCCAGTGCCTCAGGCTCTGCGTCTTATGGGTGCACAGGGTGCCCTGGAGGAAGGAGCGTCACATTTAGGCCTGATTTGGCTTTTCCTTTGGCTCGTGAGGCTCCCTTTGGGCCTCACTGGTCATTCCCTTTGAACCTGTCCAGTAGTTGCTGCTTGTGGCACTCAGCATGGAGTGAGTCCCTCAGTTGTGTCTCTCGGGGCCCTTTGAAAAGTGGCCACTGGTAGAGAAGATGGTCCTACAGTCCTTGCTGCCTGGAGCAAGGACGTCACAATTTTCTGAGTGACGGCTCATCTTGAACGACTAGTAAACTCCTTGAGGGCAGGGCCAAGGTCAGACTGCCTTGTGGTTCCCTCAGTGCTGCAGTGTAGTGAAAAGAGCAAAGGGTTTTGGGTTGGGTCAGCCTGGGTTTGCATCTCGTCACTTGTTAGGTGTGTGGCTCGGGGCCACTTACTCAACCCCCCCCCCCCCCACCCCTGTGCCGGGTCACACCACCCACGGTGGATGCGCAGTAACTGATTGCAGTGCTGAGAATCAGTGTGTGTGAAATAGCTACTGAAAGTCATTTCAGATTTTACTTCTCTCCTTCTACTGACTGACTCGGTCATACTTTTCTCCATATTCACATTTGCACAGTTTGTAAATATGTGTAGATTAGAAAAACAAAGAAACATGGTAGCATGTTTGACCCCTGGCAGCACAGCGTATTTCTTAACTTTGCTTTTGTGTTGTGAACTTGAATACAAGAACTGTGTCAAGTTTGTTCTCCTAAAATTCTCAGCACAGTGCCTGATTCCATAGTAGAAAAATAACAAATAGTTCTTGAATATTTCTCTGAAGTAAGGGTTCAAGTGCAAAAGTCCGCATTTCCTAGCAGGGTTAGCTTGTTTATCCATGCATTCATGGAGAGACCCGAATGTGTAAGTTGAAATTGTACCCTTACGTCTCTGCAGCCCGAGACTGACTTCTATAGATTTTAGCCACTTTGTCCTCGATTTCAGCCAGAGAGCGAGTGAACACAAGGAAAGTCCTCAGTGATTGGCAGCTAATGTTGGTTGTGGAACCAACATTTTGGTGGAGGGGATGTAAATCCATGAAATATCCAGTTTCTGTTGTCGGCAAGTATTTTGAAGATGGAATTCAGATGCGCTAACCTGGCAGCACCTCCAGCCCCTCTGAAGTTCTGACAGACTCATCTTTGGTTGTGGTCTTCCCGCCAGGGCGTCGAGTCCCAGCCCCAGAGCAGCAGAGCCCTAAGATGGGACGTAACAGACACGTTGCCCCCACTCTGCTGCCGGCCAGGGCAGGGGTGAGGCAAGTCAGTTTCCCTTCTAGAAAATGAGAAGCCTTTGGGGTGAACAGTAGTGCTTTGGACTTTCCTGGGAGGCAGTACGGTCTGTTGGAAAGGAAACCGTCTCAGGAGTCCTGGGGGCTGCCTGGATCCTAGACCTTGCCCTGCTTCTGACTCAGCACCGTGGGACTCATGTCCCCTCTCTGAGCCTCAGTTTCTCATCTGTAAAGCGAGGTTGGACTGGATGGCTTTTAAGGGCCTTTCTGGCTCTAACATCCTGTTTAAGACGGGTTCTTGGTGAGGAGATAGAGGGCTGGCGCGAAGGCCTTCTCAAATCCTGTTTCTCTTTGTCATTTACGAACCAGAAAATGACAGATGGCGAGACCTGGACAGGAAGTGCCCTCTTCAGATCGACCAGCCGAGCGCCAGCATCTGGGAGTGCCTGCCCGACAAGTGTCAGGACAGCGCTCTGTGGCACCGGGAGGCCGCGACTGCCTGCGCGGTCACCAACCTGATCAAAGACCTCAGCCTCAGTGACCACAACGGGAACCCCTCAGCGCCCCCCAGCAAGCGCCAGTGCCGGTCGCTGTCCTTCTCTGACGAGATGTCCAGCTGCCGAACGTCGTGGAGGCCCTTGGGGTCCAAAGTCTGGACTCCGGTTGAAAAGAGGCGCTGTTACAGTGGGGGCAGCGTCCAGCGCTACTCCAACGGCTTCAGCACCATGCAGAGGAGCTCCAGCTTCAGCCTCCCATCCCGCGCCAACGTGCTCTCCTCGCCCTACGACCAGGCGGGACTTCACCACCGATTTGGCGGTCAGCCCTGCCAGGGGGCGCCGGGCTCGGCCACCTGCAGACAGGCAGGCGACATCTGGGGCCCTGACCCGAGCCCCGTGGGCGGGGCCCGACTGGACATGCAGCGGTCCCTCTCCTGCTCGCACGAGCAGTTCTCCTTTGCGGAGTACTGTCCCCCCTCAGCCAGCAGCACCCCTGCCTCGACGCCGGAGCTGGCCAGACGCTCCAGTGGGCTCTCCCGCAGCCGCTCCCAGCCGTGTGTCCTTAACGACAAGAAGGTCGGCGTTAAGCGGCGTCGCCCCGAGGAGGCGCAGGAGCAGAGGCCCTCCCTGGACCTGGCCAAGATGGCGCAGGTAAGAGCCCCAGAAGTTGCTGGAAGATGCTGCAGAAGCACCCAGGTGCTCCTCGGCGCCTCCGCGGCTCCTGGCCCGTCCCGGGCAACTGCAGGGTGCCAGTGTCAGAAATGCCCAGGAAGTGGGTTAATTTCCTCGTTTTAAAAATTCTATACAGTGAAAGATGAAATCAAGCCCCCCCTTTTTTTGTTTTTTTTTTTTTTAAACATCTATTTCTTTCCACTTAAAATCAGAAATACTCTTTC